CAGAGCGTCCAGACCTAGACAGAAGGACGATTAGGATCCTCAAACAAGGGCTTGGGTAAAAAAGCCTGTCCACAAGATAGCGGACAGAAATGGACGCAATCCCATTTCAAACCCCCAATGTGAACGACCAGCAGACTGAATTCATCTGACCTTTAACCACTGACGAACGTAGTAGTAGCAGTTCTCGTGGGCACCACCCAGTTTAGCCCAATGGGTCAAAGAGGTAGGCAAACCGTCGCACCACGTTAAGCTCCGGTCTCCTTACGACGACTGCTCGGTTACCAGAATGCATTAAGCACCTGCGTCAACTTCCGCTTCCCAATGATCTGAAATCTTAACGATGCGCTGTTGGCATGTTCATCTATTACTCACACTGGCTTCCTTCCTTCTGAGACAAAATCAGACCACTCGTGAAGTACCGGATCTTACCCTTTCCACCACATGTAAAAAGTGCATTCAAGGAGCTTAAAATGACCATAGAAAATGCTGTTTGTGACAGTTGATCATACCATTCCATTGGGGTGGAAATAAACGCATCCGACACAGCCATAGCTGCCTCGCTGTCAGAACAATCGCCCAGTCACGTTTCCCTCAGTATCTTATCACCCAGTAAAAACACTATCCAGTTGTTGAAAAAGCAGCTGTGGAAGCTGTTAGAAAGTGGCGACATTATCTCCTGGGGACACGTTCAAACTAATCACTGATCGGCGACTTGTAGCTTTCCTGGAGGGTGATAGTCAAACAGGCAAGATTAGGAACGATAAACTCCAGAGGCGGCCACTGGAACTGCCTGCATACCAGTAGGATGTAAGTTACAGATCTGATCAAGTTAATCAGGTCACGGACGCTTCTCGTATCGCGTGTGACTCATACTTTAACGGACCGAAACTGCAAGATCTACACAACTCATAGTGCCACCCAGAAATAACCAGCATGGTTCATTTCGCACGTCATAAAAACCAACCTTACTAAGTTGGAGAAGTTAGAAAGATGATTTCAAAGTACAGCGTTTGTGCAGTGCTAAGGCCTCGATACTATAAGCCAGCAACAGACGGACACATTAAAGCTACGCAGCCGTTCGAATGACTCAGTATGGATATCTAAGGATCTCTCCTATTACTACTCACAACAGATATTTACTGACTGTCGTTAATGAACATGACAGAATCCTTTTCGCATTCACATGCCCGAATATACTTGCTTCCACCAACATAAATTGCCTCTGCCAAGTGTTCGCTGTTTCTGGAATGCCGACGTACATACACTCTGACTGAGGACCATGATACATGTCTGCAGAGTTTACTAAGCTATTGCTGGACAAAGGATTGCCATTCGATTACATAATCGCTTACAACACACAAGTTAACGGGCAAGTAGAAAGTCTTAACGGAACACTTGGGAATACTATTGTACTCGCTGTACGAGACAGGGACCTGGCACTCTCGCAGTGAGAGCCTGTCCTGCATGAAACGCTGCATTCCATTCGTACTTTGCTTTGTACTACTACAAACAATACCCTTCATGAACGACTCTTTTACGTTGCTCGACAAACGAAACTTCTATACCACCGTGGTTGAAGGGTCCTTGGCCCGGTCTTACTCAAAAGATTGTACAGATCTTCAAAATACGAACATGTGATGGGGGGAGTCAGCCCAGTCAGCTGCAACCCTAATTATGCCGGTGTGAGGCTACCTGATGGTAGAGATGTTTCCACCTGTTGTGCAGATCATCGAGGCGTTCTTCCCGTAGTAACATTTGAAACCCGAGAAGCACCAGATACCCTCCTAACCAGTCAAAACAAGACACCAATCCGAAACCAGAATGCCTAGAAAATGGCTGCTCGTGCGATCTCGACTGCATCACTTTTCGTTCATCTGGCCGGCCGGTGGCCGAGTGGTCTGCTCACCTGGTTTGCAACCGTAAGCTTCCCGATTCGAATCCGCGTAGGGGTGGACGTCCTTGCGGTATACCCAGTCCGCGCGCGACTGGTGATGGTCGTGCGGCAGCGAGGCGCCATCACGGTGTACAGGTGACACATTATTATTATTACTACTTTTCGTTCATCTTCAATTCCGGCGGCAGAGAACATATCCATACCATTTACGAAACAGGGTTTAATCGAGGGATTTTTTCCCTTTATGAAACACATTCTTAAAAATGACTTCGTTTTCCGAATAGGATGAATGTCGTATGCATTCACTTGCCTCTTTTACATAATATATCATAAGCAACTCCTATATCTTTCGGCCTATGCACCTTCATTGTTAGACCAGCAAAGCGTACACTACCTACTCCGTGTTATCCCGTTTATTGTACTACTTCCGTCCATCATATCACCTTGATTGCGGATGGATTCAGATGACCTTTAAAATCTAACGGTAGCTGGTAAATTCACCAACATTGAAAGTAATTCTGTCGGAGAAGTATAAACAAATGTTGCACGAAGCACTACCGGTTACCTGACCGATCCCAGAGACAGTAAAAATATATCTACCCTGAGATTAAGCATCATCATCAATAATTAACACAAGTTAGTTGTAGGTGAGAAACGCACCTCAGCTAACGTACCGCAATACAAGAAGGTAAGAAACAAAAAATACACTACAAAAAATAGAATAAAAAGTTAAATATTATAGTATGTAATTCGTATGAGATCGGAATTGGAGAGGAATCTAAAGGGGAGGGGGTTTGACAAAGAAACTCACGACACAAACGCCACTGAAGCCGGCTCTTCGCCATATCAGCAAGTGTGTCCAACCAAACGTGTTCATCGTCCTTAGGACCCCAGCTAGGCAGTCGGGATGCACCAACCGACGCCAACTTCGAAGTGAGGGTTTCCATTTCTCTCGACCATGTCATCACTTGACCTCCTCGCCTACCTCTTTCAACCGCACCTCCGGAGGTCAAAAAAATGCACATCGCGGAATTCGGTGTGCTGGAATGCGCAACACGTGGCCCAGCCATCGGAGCCTGGTGCGTGATATAATGGTGCTGAGCGGTTCACTCGCTCTTCCTGCACCAAATACGCGACGCCGAACACGGTCATTGCTCATGCGGTGCTCCCACCAGACATGAGCTAAGCTGAGAAGGCAGCGATGATCGAATATGACGAGCCTCTTTGTGTTTGTCGACCTGATGGGCTAGGTTACACAGCCATATAGGAGAGTTGAACCGACGGCTGTGTTATAAACTCTGCCCTTCAGGACGAGAGTAATGTCGCGTCTGCGCCACAGGTGGCGGAGATTGGCAAAAGCACCTCGAGCTTTTGTTATACGGTGCGTAATCTCATCTCCGATCCCACGGGCGCTAAGATAGCTGCCCAGGTACTTGAATTCCTGAACGATTTCTAGCTGATCACCACCAAGGGTCAGCGCAGGGTTGGGTCCCTGCCAATCTTGGAGAAGTACTTTGCATTTCGAGGGAGCAAAGCATGGGCTTTAATGACTGACAACTAGTGCTAATCGGTCCAGTGCTGTTTGGCACGTATGGGAGCTGTCACAGAGTAGGACAATATCGTCTGTATACTACAAGTCAAGAAGTCGCTCGACAGGAAGTAGCTCCAGACCTTCTAGGTCGTGTCTAGGGAATGCTGTTTCTATGACTTCATCAATAGTGAAGTTAAAGAGGAAAGGTGACAGCGGAAAACCTTGTCTCACACCGCTGGAGATACTGAAGGGTGACGATAGTTTGTGATAAATCCTCACTTTGCCCGAACTATGCGCGTACAGCGCTTTGATAATGTTCACGTATTCAACAGGCACACTTTTCCTTAACAGAGTTCCAAAGGGTACATCAATCGACTGAGTCGAAGGCACCATTGAGGTCAAGAAACATGACAACGGTGAGCCGCCAATAAACATGACAGTACTCCAACAATTGACGCAAGGTGAAGATGTGGTCGATGCAGTCCAGACCTCGACGAAACCCGGCTTGCACTTCACGGATATGGTCTTTACGAGCGCCAGTCAGTCTGTGGAGGACGACAGACGCAAGCAATTTAGAGGAAATTCAGATCAGACTAATCTCTCTATGACTACCGTATTCCGGACGGGAGCCTCACTCGAAATTCGGGACTATGACGTAGCGGCACCAGTTTGTCAGGACAGTTTCCTGCTCCGAAAGTTCCACTAGTAACTCGTATAAATCATCTAAAAGAGCAGGTCCCCGGAATTTGTAGAGAGCTGGGGGAATTCTATCCGCACCAGCGGCCCTATGCGATTTCAACAAGCTGATCTAACGTTCGACTTCTCCGCGTGAAACCGGATCTAAGAAGACGGTCCATGGAGAAGGGCACATAATGCCTGAAAAAGTAAGCGATATCTCCGATGGATTAAAGTGCCTTGCAATACTCCAAGCGTTTTTACAGGATGTGGATCGGCTGTCCACTCTTGTCGCGTATTGTCTTGCTAACACCAGGTCTCCTGCTGTCTGTTTCCCGTATCAGACGGAATAACTTACGTTGATTACCAACGGCAGTGGTTGCTTTCATTTCAAACGCACGAAGAGACCACCAAGGTTCGTGGTCTCTCTTCAGGCTAGCATGCAGTTTTGCCCTGAGATTTTTACGAGTCTCACTGTATTCGCTTCCAGCCAGAATACGTCGAGGAAGATCCATAAGTTCCAGAGACTGTGTAGAGTCCAGATTAGCAATTTGATTTGCCACATGAATACATGCCTGCTGATGGTAACGTTAGACGAGTATGCAACCAGTGATCTTCAACGGTGTTGAGTTGGCGCCTACTCAGCCCGGATGCCAGCGTACTTTGCTGCACATTCAGAAAACCTCGCTAAACAAACAAAAAGACAGCGGAAACTGATGAATGGATAAAGGGAAAGCAAGTAAAATGAACTACCAACACGACTTCTGAATCAGTGACAATATTGATAATTAACTTATGGATATCGCAGTAAAGTGCTGATAAGCGAAACGCAGGAATAGAACACAGACATATATGCAGGTTAAATTCATCAATCATGCCAGGATACTTCAACAAACTCACGTCATCTGCAACACGAGGACGCTTCGCATCCTGTGGCGGCTTCGAAACAGCTGATAAAGTTATCCCAATGAATGCAAGTGATAAGAAATACGATAGATTGTGGGACATGACGAAAGAAACCAGGTTGCCAACTGATAGTTATGGGTAGGGAGTTCAGTGGGAGATGAAGTAATTCCCAGAAGCTGGGGAAAGAAAGAGAGAGTCAAATCATGAGGAAGTAAGATTCAGAGCCTCAGACGAACCAGGTGAGAACGCAAGGTGGGTGGACAAACATACATCGAATTAGGCAGGAAAGGGTACGAGCACACAAAATGAGAGATAATAAAAACCATCTAGTAAGTAAAAGTAGAACAACCATCGATCAATCGGTCTATGGGGCGCAACGAACTGATGAGATAAAATAATGAACTAGAAATTAGATGACCGCACAAGGTAGGCAGTTAAACCACTCCAGAATGACTGAATCATTCGTGACCCCTCCGGTGATCAACTGTTCCGAGGATACAGAAATAGTGTTTAGCGTCCACGCATTCCGTAGTGCGTGGACTACTGGATTAATGCGGTAGAAATATTCTGCAATAGAAGCATCATCATTAAGATTAACAGCAGTACACCAGATGCTTCGCTGCCATACAACCACAACGGCCTACGGAACGAAGAAGAAAGAGAGAAGGGGGACCTACCGGTAAATCTGAATGCCCTGAACAAACGCAGAGGGTCAAGGCGCCTACACGTAGTAAAAAACAACATCACAAACAGCTGGCCATCGTGCAAAGATAAGGCGACATCAGCGAGACAGCTTCCTTTCAGCTTTCAATGTTCCGCATCATAATCAGCCATTATCCCGCAGATAACACAGCAGAAAACACATTTTAAACAGACAGCCCGAATAGGAAACGACAGCAGACGTGTCGACCGCGAGCCAAGTCCTGCAACGTCTCGAGCCAAACACATGGCGGGTCACGTGGACTCCAGCCTGGAAGGCGAGAAGTACCGACGGCATCCAGTTTGGTCGCCAGTGACTTCATTCCTGTTGCGAAGTCAAACTTTGCCCACTTAGAGCACTGCACCGCCATACATCGAGCAGACAAAACAAGTCCCGCCTGGGTAAGCAGTGATCGGACAAAAGTAGTACATGCTCAAGCTGACGCAACTTAAGCAGTGCAATCTGTGGTATCAAGGAACTAGCCCGAAAATGGCCGCCTAACACTCGTCAGTGCGAACCTTAGTTACGCACACGCTGATGCCACCCGACACCAGCAATGCTTTCCAGACAACGATTATCAAAGACTTGAAGGCACCTCAAATCCTTAGATCGGAAGGGACAAGTCTCAATCCCATGGAGCAGGATCGCTTACATTGTGGCCTTGTAAACAAGGCCTCTTAGATCGAGGGAAACTCCTTTCTGACGCCAAAGGTATCGCAGACTCAAGAAGGCAGTATTAGCTTGGGTAATACATGACTTAAGTTGTTATGCGCCCATCATTGCTGATGCGGCTGCCAAGGTAAGTAAACTGATCAACTATCTCAGGTACCTCGTTATCAAGCGTCAAGGGGTCATCAAGCGGCTGGTGGTCCTGCAACAACACCTTGCACTTTGAAGGTGCGAAGCGCATGTCAACTGATGGGAGCACTATAGAGTGGTGATTCAAGGTTGACTGGGGTGCGCAAACACCGATAGACAGAGAGAAAATATCATCCGCATAATAGAGATCAACAAGCCCTTCAGCAAGCAACACCTCAATGGCTGCATTGTAAGAGTTTGTAAGGAAACATCCCATGATAAAATTCATGATAAAGTTGGACAAAATGGTGAAATTGGGCAACTCTGACAAACGCCACTTGTTGTCAGGAAAACATCACCGTAGACCCTGAAGCGGTCTGTGGTGTTTGAGTACAGGACAGATAAAACATTAAACCAACCGTCCATGGCTCAGCCTACATCACGTGAGCAGAAAGAGGTCCTGAAGCACAGAGCCAAGTGAACTGCTCCCGAAAGTGCTCCGCACAACGAGCCAGAAGGCGTAACCTTATTGGAAATTAGGGCATAAGCGTTCGCTCTGACTGTCTCACTGAGGCCTGGTATCTTGCGACCGGTGACAGGGAGTAGATAGAAGAGCTTGCGATAATTGCCAACTGCTCCCGCCTCCTCCATTTCTCGAGCTCCACTGGTCCACCAGGCCTCCTTGTCAGCGCACACAACCCGATTTAGTACGCGCCTAATAGTTCACCGGGTTATTTTGTGCTCAGAGCCAGCCAGGAGATTTCTTCTGGATTCTAACAGGTTCACCGACCTCTCGGTGACCATTGATATCGCCGCAAGCTGAGGCTTCTGCATCGTGCATCGCGGCCGAGATCCTATCCCCCTGAAGCTCAGTGTCATTAGGACAAGAGAGCGAAAATTCGGTACGCATAGCATCCTGGTAAGCTTGCCCGACCGGGGACCGAGATAAGCTCTCAGTTGTCAATCAAGGAAGTGCTTGATACATCATAGAAAAACGACACGGTACCAAGCCATAATCAGAGACGACTAAAGCATACCAGAACGAACGACAATCCAGGATGGAACCACGCCAACTGTAAATTATCGCAACGTGACCTATTTTGGTCTATCGATGACTGGCTATAGGTGACTCCAAATGACATTTCGGTTACTAGGAAACAGCTGGTGTTCGCACACTGTTGCGACAGACGCTCGCCGTTGTACATACTTATCACATAAGAGCTCAGACGGCCAACTTGCGTCTTTATATCCTCTGTAACAGCAAAGATATCTAAACTGGTAACAATGCGAAGCAGTGTGTTCAGTTCGAGGTAAAGGTGTCCTTGGCAGTATCAACACTGCAGTCAGTGGGGAGATAAAGGGAAAACACAAACAGACAGCATCTCGTACTACTTCGTGAATCAACCTTAGTTGATGTCGCCAAACGGGCTGCACACTAACGACTGTTCGCAGGAATCCAAGCAACCAATGATGACTCAGCCTTAGAGCTAAAAATGATGCCCACCCTAACTTGACCAGTGACTGCCGCCCCAGCGTCGCCGGATCCGTACGTACAAACAATAGTGAGAGAAAGAGCCGGGCGCAGTTAATTCAACAATCTCGTGAGGGATACCTACACACACACAGACACACACTATACACGTTAGCTAGAGGTGGGAAACACCTCACCTACTGTGCCGCGATACATAAAAGAAAAGAAAAGGAAAATGCTACTGGTGCAAGCCAGCTGAGCTACCGGTAACGGATGGGCATCGTTACGGTAAGCTATCTACCGGCTACTATGCAGTAAAAAAAGTAATTTACTAGGCAAAATTATAAAAGGTTAAATAATGAGATCGTGTTTGGAAAATGGGGGGTTTAAGATGAATGGAGTGGGACAAAGAAACTCACAGCACGAACGCAACTGAGGTCGGCTCCTAGCTATACCAACAAGTGTATCCAGCCAAACGTGTTCACCGTCTTTCGGACCCCAACTAGGGAGCCGAGACGCTTCAACTGAGGCCAAATTCGAAGTATGGGCCTAAATTGCTTTCGACCGAGTAATCGCTTGGTCACCTCTCCTCTTCTTCCATCCATACCTCCGGCGCGCAAACAACGCACGTCGTGGGAGTCGGTGGGCTGGCAGGTCTAACACGTGGCCTATGCATCGGAGCCTGGTGCATGAAATAAAGGTGCTGAGCGGTTCAGTTCCTTTTCCTGTACCGTAAACAAAACGTCGAACACGCTCGTTGCTCACGCGGTGTTCCCACCAGATGTGAGCCAAACTGCAAAGGCACCGGTGGTCGAACGTAACTAGCCTCTTTATGTCCGCTGATCTAAGGGGCCAGGTTTCACAACCGTAATGTAGGGTCGAACAATCCGCTGCACTGTACACTCTATCCTTTAGGGCGAGAGTGATGTCGCGCCGGCGCTATAAGTGGCGAAAGTTAGCAAAAGCGCCTCGAGCTTTTGCTATACAGTTCGTGACCTCATCTTCAATCCCACGGGCGCTGATACAACTTCCTAAGTAGTTGAATTTTTGAACAACTTCTAGCTGATCACCACCAAGGGGCAGCGAAGGAGGCGGTTCAGGCCAATATTGGAGGAACGCTTTGCACTTCGATGGTGCAAAGCAAAACTCGAAGCGGCTGACAGCCAGTGCTAATCTGTCCAGTGCAGCTTGGCACGTCTAAGAGCAGGCACAGATTAGGGCAATATCGTCAGCATACCCCAAGTCAAGAAGTTGTTCTCCTGGGAGCAGATCCACACTTTCTAAGTCGTGGGCTGTGAACGTGATTTCCATGACTTCGTTAATAGCGAAGTTGTAGAGGAAAGGTGACAGCGGGCATCCTTATCTCACACCGCTGGAGATATTAAAGGGCGACGACAGCTTGCCTAAGCTGCGCGCGTATAATGCGCGGTGCTCGAAGCCGCATCGTCACCGGATAGGCACAATGAGAAGTGCTGCTGGTGTCACCTGAAGGGGATCGCAAAGTGAGCACAGAGCTGGAGTCTTGCAGGCGGGTCTCCGACAAGCAGCAGATGTCGATCGAGAGGGTCTCTAATGTTCGGGCAAGTGCTGCCTGTTGACCGATCTGTAGCAATGCACATTGAGGCATGCCAATCTGAAGGATGATCGAGGGCACCAAATGTAAGTCGAGGAACTGGGCTTGGCCGCTTGGTTGGACATGGGCTTGCCGACAGGACAGGAATGACGCTCCGCATTCACATGTGAGTTGAAACGACAAGGTAAAAGTCTAGCAAAGCAAGGTGGGGAGGGCCAAGAATTGGGGGTCGAAAACAGGGGGATAAAAGTAAAGCTGGAACGGGACAGCAAGAGAGAAAAAGCGTAAGAGGGGGAATAAGAAGATGGGAAGGCTTGAGCAGTAGCATCCAAACCCCTATCCACCCTGCTCGATGCAGCAGATAGGGCAGCGTTGATTATCCTCTGCGGTGGCCAGAGCATCAAGAAACCGTTTGAAGAGAAATTCATTGTATTGCGTGGGCAAGATACTGTCAGGTTGCCCAGGCCTAGAAAGGAGAACGATTCGGATTCTCAATCAAAGCCTTTGGTTCAAAAACCTGATCGCAAGGCAACGGGTTTAGCGTTGGGCTTCAAGGAGCCCGTTTTAAGGAATAGGGAGTCACTCACATTCCAACTTCCAACCTGGAGGACAAAGTGACCAAGTTTGTCTGGCCT